AAAGCACTGGGCGCTTCGCTCCATAATGTCCTCACCCGGGTCAAGTCGTATCCACAAACCTATCCCGCTATCGACCTATCCTACTCCCCCGCAGATCCGCTTCGCAAACCGGTGATATTGCAGTTACCTTCAAATGGCCTGCGCCTTCGATTTGACGGTCCCGACCAGAGGCTCCGTTTGATTGAAGTTCTCGACTTCTCTCGAGTGAACCTGGTATACAAAAACCAGGATGTCCTCAAAGGTGGGAAGTCAGCAGAACAACCCTTGTCTTCGCACGGTCCCAGCTTCCGGCATGTCTACAATCGTTTGTTCGGTCCCTCATACCCAGGAGAATATGTACCACCGGCGGATCCTCAGTCGCCATATGGCACCTACGTGCTCTCGTATCCCGGGGTAGCATTCTCGTTCCCCCTTCAGCACTCTGCCTGGTCCGACCAGTGTGATTTTGTAGCGTTATTATCCTCTTCGGCCGCCCTTCCGGCCACATCTATGTCAGTCTTCCAAGGGTCATCATGGCCTGAGGTTAGAGGGAAATTGTTCACGCAACAGGCACAGTACCCACGCTCGTCAGCTTTGATTGGCAAATCCCGAGAATCACTGGCGGATGAAATCGAGGAGTGGCATGTTCTGGGTGCTGGGAAACTTGAAGTGGTTCGCAGGACGGGTTCTCCATTATATATCACACTGGGAGAGACAACTCCCCAGGATTTGATTGCCGACTTCGGTCCACCCGACGCAATCTATCGTAAGAATGACCGCCGAATCTCGATTCATCGTGCAACTGGGGGTGGGGACCTGCACCTGAGCCCCTCTCCAGGCAGAGGAATCGAGATTCCGGACGGCGATCACTCATCTACTAACAGCGTAACTGATGATTCTGATGAAGAGATGGCTACCTTCAATATTGGAGACCCCACCTCACTGCCCGCAGACTACTTTTTGAATTACTTCCACCATGGCTTCGATGCCTTCATCTCGTATCCCACAACACCTGGACCTGCTTTTCCCGCCTCCGGTCTTCCAGATCCATCGCCGCAGCCAGCATCTTCCCAGCTCACAGTGACAAAGATTATTCTTCATGGGAATGTTCCAGGATCTTATCCGTTCAATCGTCACCGCCGCAGTCGCTGGATAATTCCATTGGATGAATCTGGGGACTGTCTGACTTCGGAGTCACCCTATGACGAAGTCTCAGAGCGGCTGCGCGCTACTTGGAAAGGATCTTACGCCAGCCCTGCCGAGGAGCGTGCTCTGCAGCGGCCAATGGTGCTGAACCGTGGCTGGGGAGACAGTCCCGAGAGCAGTGTTGAGTTCCTCGGTGGCTGGGAGGAGAGCACGGCCAAAGGTCCTCGGAATGGTTCAGATGGGCAAGATGGGGGATTAGGCAACACGGAGCTTTTCGGGTTCCCGGGGTTGTTATTTGAAGTTCTCAAGAATGGGGCCGTGAGCTGTTTGACAGTGTACTGATTTGAGACTATTGCAAGCGCTTTCTTTTTTTATACTCTATACTCTATACTATATTTCAATGCATTATGAATCATGATAATCCTAGTCATTCTTTTTCAATGTGAAACTATATATGGCCATTAATTGATAGATAACCTGCAGGTGGGTATCTGAAAATGCCCCCCCTCTGTCCTGATTACTCTTTCTCTTTCTCAAAAACCATATAATATATACTACACTGTATATAAACTATTGCTGGATATAGGAGAAATTGCATGTGATTTGTTTAGTGCTTGAGATATAGTGATTTGATGGTATGTATAACATCTTTAAATAGACGATTTGTCCCTGTTGGGTGATAATTGGGACTTGGTAGTATTTCCCTTGTTCCTTGCCTTGTGGTTCTCTCGGTATTCTTCAGAGGACCGAGTATTGTTTAAACACCTAGATTGGAGGGACCTAATGTCCATCCCCCGATAGCTTCATATTCTAACTATTGCCACATCATGTCGGTGTGCTAGCCGATGCAGGAAATTGCCCTCGGCCTCGCTGATCCCAATGCTTCGGATGCAAGGCTCCTTGGCTTAGAATAAGATATATTCCAAGTCGAGTAATATCCAGAAGAAAAAGAAAAACAAGAAAGAACTTGAGTCCAAGGACCCCAAGCCTATATCGATGTAGAGAATGGTTCGGGTTACTTCCCGACTCACACACTTCAACCCCCCACCCCTGAAATGATAACAGGAATCTCTCCAGGGAGAGATATGAGGGGTGCGGGGGCATGTGGGGACCTATATAGATTGAAACGAGTAATAGAATCCGCATTGGCTCTCATTGGTGTCGAGAATGTACAATAATACTTTCTTGCGGGTTATAAAAGAGGATATGTAGGGATCTCTCGAAAGGAATGACAATTCTACTTACACTCTGCATCAACCTTGATCATGGATGTTTATGAACCACCCAAGGGCGAGCCCACAGACGAAACAAAAGATGATCTCGCATCAAAGCCCACACAAACTGCCACTCACGATGTCGTGTTTGGAGAAATCACAGAAGACGGGCCAAACTACCGCAATGTGCATATTAACGAGTTGGAATTGCATAGTCACCCTCACACCAAGCTGACATTTCTTTAGGTTGGTTTTCTAGGAACTGTGACTCTGATGATGAAGTCTCAGATTGGATTGGGGATTCTCTCCATTCCGAGTGCCTTCGATGCCCTGGGGATTGTTCCAGGTGTGATTTGCCTACTTGCTATCGGTGGGATCACTACGTGGTCTGAATATGTGATTGGTACCTTCAAACTAAACCATCGGGAGGTTTATGGTATCGATGATGCCGCAGCTTTGATGTTTGGCCCAATTGGTCGCTGGGTGCTGTCCGTTGTATTCTGCCTGTGTAGGTGTACCCCAGTTCCAACTATATAGGCCACTTCACTGACCTTCCAGACTACATATTTGTCAGTGCCTCTGGTATACTGGGAATTACCATCGGGTTAAACGCAGTTTCTACTCATGGTATATGCACTGCAGCTTTCACTGCCATTGCCGCCTTCCTTGGATTCGCTACTAGCAGTGTGAGAACACTCGGTCGTATCACCTGGCTTGCATGGGTTGGCTTGCCATGTATTCTTGCTGCAGGTTTGTTTCTCTCTTGATACATATTGAAGCATTTCCTTAAATTCTCCTCTAGTTCTGACCGTGTCTATCGCCGTTGGCGTCCAAGACCGCCCCCCTTCTGCACCGCAGGATCAGACGCCCTGGTCCTCGGATTTCAAGATCGTTGGTAATCCATCCTTCGTCAAGGGTATTACCGCGATCTCTAATCTCACGTTTTCGTTCTCGGGCACACCTGGGTTTTTCGCCATTGTATCCGAGATGCGCAATCCTCGCCGATACACGCCAGCCTTACTTATCTGCCAGGCCTGTGTGAGTTCCATCTACACTGTCATCGCCTGCGTTATTTATTACTACTGCGGCTCCTATGTCGCCTCACCAGCTCTGGGTTCAGCTGGCGGGGTGGTGAAGCAGATTGCCTATGGGGTTGCCTTGCCAGGGCTGGTTGTTACCACGACGATTGTCATACATGTAAGGCCCACAGAGACCAAAGCATCATAGCACATGCAACTAATCTATACCGTTCTATAGATACCTGCAAAGTACATCTTCGTCCACCTTCTTCGCGGGTCTCCACATCTGAATAGCAACACACCAACTCACTGGCTCTCCTGGCTTGGCTGCACCTTTGGTGTTACTGTGATTGCGTACATAATTGCTAGCACAATTCCTGCCTTTGACGCTCTGGTCTCCCTCATCGGTGCTTTGCTTGGAACGATTCTATGTTTCCAACCCTACGGTTGTATGTGGTTGTATGACAACTGGGCTACGGGCCGAGACAAGTCCAGAGCATGGCTGCCCATGGTCTGCTTTAGTGCCTTGGTGATAGCATTTGGATGCTTTTTGACAGTTGCCGGCACCTATGGAACAGTAGTTGGGATCATCAACTCCTACGCGGAGTCCGGCGGGTCAGCTGCTTTCTCTTGTGCGGATAACTCGAATTCTACTTGAAATACCTGAGAGGCAGTATAGAAGGGATTGAATTAGATTCATATACAATCATTCCCGAGGGCTTGGTGTTTCACATGTCTTTTGAAACTATCACAACGGACCGAAGTTAACTTATATCACTGATCTCTATGCATTTGAATTCTACTTCTGTGACATCAACTATGAAAAAGAGACGTTGTAGCAACGTAGCGTTAAAATCACAGAATATTGGACGCTTCCATAATTCCCAAGTATAGACGTACGGCCAAGAGAAAGTTTTGATGTACTTGCGGAGAACAGTGTAAACGATTATGGTGGGACATTCGAGACATTTGGGCCAAGGTCCTTCTATACTTGATCAGACTAACAAGACCGACTTGATAATTGAACGAGAAATCGGGATCCATCCCGATCCTTTGCCCTACAATGTTCTATGTACGGTTGCCGCTCCCTCGGGCGGACCCGCTGCCCCGAAGGACCTCCGGCAAGGAACCCGGGGAGGACGCCATTTTATATCGAAAGACTCATATTGGCCAGCGTGGTGAATTATTCGGGCCTCCAAGCCGCTCTATACTCCAATTTATCTTGGAGTCATGTCATGTCTACCCCACATTCTACCCAATGGGGACGTGAAGATATCGAATCTTTCGGATCTCAACGGAACAAGAAGCACCAGATCTCTGTAATGAGATAGTCAATCTGCATTGATATGCAAAGAAGTTACAACCACTAGAGAATGACAGTGTTCCTTACGGATGGGACACTGACAAGTTGCTGAGACTAGGAGATATGGAGCTCTAGGAGACTGAACATGGATCGAATGGCTTCATAATGTATATATACATACATATAATTGTTCCAATTTAATTACATGATAACCTATGCACTAGTCCATCAATTAGACATTCTGTAGTCGCCGTTGCGTTTTCTAACAAATACCCGCAATATTACAAACCCACTAAACTCACGCCTTAAAAGACACAGAAGATATAATGCTCCACCTGATCAAGTGCCTAGGTTCTGAGCCTCGCACATCTTCGGATAAAGCTGGCCTTTCACCAATAATTCCTCATGGGTTCCAGACTCAACGATCCTGCCCCCATCAAACACGCAAATCATATCCGCATGACGAATAGTTGACAAGCGATGAGCAACCGCGATCGTGATTCTATCCCCTTGGGAAGCCGCCTCATTCAGTGCATCTTGGACAATTCTCTCCGATTGAGTGTCCAGCGCGCTTGTTGCTTCATCTAGTAGGAGTAGACGGGGATTCCGGAGTAACGCCCTGGCAATGGCGATGCGTTGGCGCTGCCCGCCAGAGAGCTGTGTCCCATTGGCACCACAGAGGGTCATAAGGCCATCGGGCAGAGAAGAGATAAATTCCCACGCATTGGCAGCCCGACACGCAGCCTCAATGTCGTTGTCAGAAACCGTTGACGGGCTACCAGTAGGCGTCCCCATGGCGATGTTTTCGCGAATGGTGCCAGGGTAGAGGGTGGGTTCCTGCTGTACAAGTGCTACTTGCGCTCGATACAGCCAAGGGTTCATGCTCTCTAATGTGTGGGCATCGATTCTGATGTGACCGGCTACTGGATCATAGAAACGTTCGAGTATACCGATCATGGTACTTTTTCCACAGCCAGATGCGCCGACAAACGCGACAAATTGACCCTTTTTGATCTATACAATGTATTAGCAGTGGGAAAGGACAGTTTGTGACGATATGGGCTGGCATACATGAAGGTCGATGCCACGTAGGACGCGAGCGTGAGGTCTCATTGGGTAAGAGAATTGCAGGTTTTCCAAGTGGAGAGATTTAAAGTCGCCAGGGCCAATATCACGGTTTTCGCCAGTCTCTCGAATTGTAGGCTGGAGCTGTTCAAGCCAAAATATGTAATTGGCAGCATTTGTTGCCTTTGTCATGCCTGGATAACTGTTAGAAACTAGCTTTTACCTCCCACACAGCCTTGGAATGCATCTTACTGCTTGAAAAGCCAAAAAGTATTGAAGCTTGTTGGCCAGAAAAGAATACACTTAGAAAACCGATGAAAAAGTTGACCATGCTGAGCTCTCCAAATGAGACAAGTCGGCATCCATACCTATGTCGAGATGATCCGATGGTCAGCATCCTATCACAAACCCGAGAACAAGGCATTTGAGCCTGCGAAAGAGATACGATAGACAAACATACCAGAAACCGAGAGCCTGAAAAGAGTATTCAACAGTTTGGGTGAATGCGAAAAGGAGCATGATGAAAAGCACTGGCGTCGTGGATGTGGCAATTGCTTGGTCAAGCTCATGGGTGTATCGCTCCAAAACCGATGTCTCAATCGCCAAGGAAGACACTGTCCGGATAGCCGTCACGGCCTCTGAGGCAATGGATGCGCTCTTCGAGAATAGCTTCGAAATCTTGTGGTCCATTGCACCCTCCATTCGGATGCGAGCGTAACCGGAAACGAGCATGGGTGGAAGTCCTGCTAAAACAACAACAAGGCCAAGTTTCCATGCATATGCCATTGCCAGGATGGAGCATGATAATACACCAGTCGTTGCAACCAGCATTAGACCAACATTAAAGCCCATAAGCTCAAATACGGCCTGTGGATAAGAGTCGGCACGGCTGGTTAGTGCCCCCGTAGTGTTCTCGGTGCGATCGAAGAATTGCAGGTCTTGCTTCATTATATCATTGACGACTTGCTTCCGGTATTTGTGGTTCATGGTCTTGTTGGGTTAGTCGAGTCAAGATGCGCCCATCAATAAAGGAGACCTACCTGTGCAACAATATTTGATGTCCATCCGATAATAAAATAGGCGACGAAAGATCCAAGCCCGAGAATGAAAAACATGAGAGCAAAAAAGTTCCCTTTTGTCCGCATAGCTGAGCCTGTGAATTGAAAGACCTCAATGAGTTTGGACATCAAAATAGCTTGACCGGGATATGCAGCAGCTACAATTTGATCAGTTTCAATCTGGGATAGGGGTTCAAGATGCTAGCCTCACCTCCTGTTAAACAAGCCAAAATCATGATCGTCAAAGCCCAATTGACCTCAGGGGTGGATTTCACCAATCTCCAGATTGTGTGAAGAAGACCCAATCTTTTCCAATTGTCAAAATCATCCCGACTCAACTGCTTCTCCGAAGTTGATCGCGTGGTAGTCGAGTGGCGGGTCAATTTACCATCAAGTATAACATGATCCTCTTTGTCTGTTTCATCCTGGCTATCCGAGGCAGATTCGGGGTCCTGCGTCGCCACAGACAAATCCTGAGCCCGCACCAATCGTGCGTATGCACCATTCGATTCCAAAAGGGAGTTATGCGTACCTTGCTCGAGAATACGGCCACGTTCCATGACGACAATATTATCGGCATCTCTTATAGTGGCTAATTTGTGTGCAATGGTGATTGTAGTGCGCCCCTTGGACACATTGTTCAATGCCTGTTGGACGACTTCCTCGGCATGGGGATCAAGTGCGCTCGTTGCCTCATCCAGAAGAAGAATCTGTGGTTGGGAAACAATGCTGCGAGCAATGGCAACCCGTTGCTTCTGACCTCCGGATAGTAGCCCGCCTCTCTCTCCAATAACGGTATCATACCCGCTAGGAAGTTGGGTGATGAAATCGTGGGCAAAGGCAATTTTAGCAGCATCCTGTATCCGGGCCAGCTTTTCAATTGGGGATTCATTCTCCCAAGGAGTACCCACAAGGCCATTCGCGATGTTTTCAGCAACTGTACCAGCAAACAAAATGGGCTCTTGTTGAACAAGCCTAACCTGCTGACGTAGCCATTTGAGGTTGAAAAGTTCTATTGGCTGGCCATCAAGCTTGATCGTTCCAGACAAAGGGTCATACCATCGTTCAATCAGTCCAACGATGGTGCTTTTTCCAGACCCGCTTGCCCCCACGAGCGCAGTTGTTTTGCCCGCCGGGATGTGCAGTGAGAAGTCGTCCAATACCTTGACATCAGGACGTGTAGGGTACGCGAACGAAATGCCACTAAAGTCGAGATCTCCCATCACGTCTGTCGGTCTTTCTCCGGAGTCGTCGAATGGATCGATTCTTGACTTTCGGTCCATCAGCCGGAATAGCTCTGCCGCCGCGGAGGCTGCGCGGACAAAGTCAATCAAATAAGGCATTATAGAGGTCAAGCTTATAGCTGCCACAATCACGGACATGAGCACACTACGAGTATCGTGATTAGCATTGCCAGCTTTGAAAGGATAAAGACTGAACAAACATGAAAATGTCCCCAGCTTGCTCCACCTCCCCGGTAGATATCATTTTTACGCCTTGCCAAAAGCACAAGCCAAACCCAGCAAAGATGATGGTGTACTCCGTGGCAAATAGGCAACCAAAAAGAGGAGATTTCTTGTTTCCGAGCTTTCTCGAAACCTGCAAAAATTTGTCAAAGTCGCATATTAGCTGATTTCGAAGCCCGAACGCCTGTACCGTCCGAGCGCTTGACAGGATGCTCTCTGCAAAAGATCCAGCTTGGGCCTGAACTTTGAGGATTTTTGCTTCAATTGAAGCTTCAAATGTGGAGCTGATACCCACAGCTAGAAGCATTGATGGGGCAATGCAGCAGCAAATGAGAGTCAACTTCCATTGAGTGACAAATGCTAGCACGAAGGCCGATATAAAAGCGGACAGGCCCTGGACAATCAGCCCCAGTTTTTCCGATATTCCAGCCTGTACTAGTCGTCCATTCGAAGTAGCTTGCATCGCAATTGATCCGCTAGTACCGGAATCAAAGAAAGCAATTTCCTGGCTCAAGCCTGCTTTCAGGTACCGGTGGCGAATATTTCGCGTGATCCGGTATGCGGCGAGTGTATAGAGTGTGCTGTATCCGTAAGTGAGGAAGAATCGGCATAGGCCAATAACGAAGAAGAAGAGACTATTTTTTTTTTCTTTCATATTAGTTCTTTCCTGTCCATCTAGATTAGGGCGTTGCACTTACCTGAGTCTCGCAGATTCACTTCGGAACTTCGAAGCATCCGTATGACCCGCCGTGTAGTCAGTGATGAGTGTGATAAACTGACCAAAGACTAGATTGACAAGGGCCATGCCAACACCGGACCCTAGTGCGCAGGCAGTTGCAATGGCTTGCAATGTATAGTCTTTGGATGAGCCATAGTGAAAGATCCTCTGCTTGGCGTTAGACTTTCAACCTAGCGATGGAAGGGGGATGTCCTTACCAGATATGCACCAAAGGCATCCGTTTCTTCATTGGGCCCCTGGGCATCAATTGGATCCTTCTCGGATTGTTTCTCCATTGTAGAGAATTTAGATATCCATGCGAAACACCCTCAGGCGAGTAGAGAGTCAAGTCGGCTTTGCTTCCAAACCGATTTTCTATTTGCATGTGTGTATAAAAGACAATTACAAGCTAGTTATCGAGACATGTCGCTCTTTTTGTGCTTCTAATGTTGATTCATGCAGGCAATTCTGCTAGGGGGGTTACAGAGTGCTCACGGGTTCCGCGGGTCCCGCGGACTCCACGGGTCCCGATGGCCCCGGGCTCCTATGAGACACTCCACATTGACCTAGTTTGGAATGTATAGCTCAGAACTTGGCATTCAAATTATTCCCAATTATTTCCAATTATTCCAAAATTATCGGAGATACTAAGCCATGATGCAATATCATCCAAATGGTATATTCCATTGTAGCTAGTATAATGGCGGAAATACATAACAAATGTATACTCCATCAGGATATCTCTCTAAAATAAAATATGATATATTGTAAGTATAAAGCGCATCTCTCTATAATTTTCTATAATTTCCTATTGATATCACAGATGTTCTTCTAACACCCCACGGAACACATAGAATGATCACACCTCACTTTGTCCTAATTCATCATCCGATGGCCATATCACAGGAAACCCTTGGGCCTTCCTTCGCAGCAATGTCTCTTTTTTCCATTTCCAAAATCCAGACTGTCTGTCATCAGTGGATAAATGACCCATCATAGAGGTTGGATCGGTAAACCGTAGGCGAGCTAACCAAGCCGCAAGATCAAATTCATGATATAGTTGTCCATCAACAAGCATCCGAATGGTCCCAATACGCTCATAGAGTGGCTGCCCGAATTTGGAAGTATGATAACTCATGTAAAGAAGGCCGCTTATCCAGGCTTTCAGATATTCGCAGAGCCACTCCGGGCGCGTTTTATATGATGACAACGTCTCTGAAGTCTCACTCTGGTCTCCCCGATCCAGCCCCCAATGTCGCCTCGACCACTGCTTGTATGTGACATGCTCTGGTGGGAAGGAAAGTTCCAGTTCCGCAGACTGGAAGTCAAGAACGAGTATATCGATCAACATCCCCCGGTCCTCGAATTCATTCGTGTTTCGAGGATATTTAGAAGTCTCGTCTTCTTTGCGCTTTTTTTCTCCCACGGGACCATAGCGGAAAAATCGTTCTAATGCCGCATAGAAGTACCAATGGAAGCCTAGCCGACCGCCGTCGCCAAGTTGGCTACGGATGGTGCGCTTCTCGATAATGTGACCGAACAGACGCACATTCGCGTAGAGTGTCGATATGTGGGTTGTGAGACATGGTACTGACAGCCAAGTCAACAAGAGGCGCAAGTCATCCTTGACTGATATGTCAAGAATGTAGTCGACTTTCCTGCGTCCGAGGATCACCTGAGTCTCGGTCGAAATTTGATGATTTGTGAGGAGAAGAGGCAGACAGTTTGAAGGGTTGGGCTTGCTCTGATGGTTATAATACGCATTGCGACCTCTACTGACCCACGCATTATATGTAAGGTCATGATATTCGACTCCATCCGATTCAAGAGGAGTCAGAGGCGGGCTGAGCGGGGTGTAGAGCACATGCTCGATGATAAGTATTCGGAGCTCAAACGGGAGATTAAGAAACAGAGACATGGTTAGGTTTCTAATGGCTGGAGTAATTTGGAGAAATATAAATATATATATATATGGATATGTATATGTATATGTATATGTATATACAAAGGTAGTCAACAAAGGTAGTCAACAGGGGAACGGGGTCGAAGTCCAGGGCGGAGTCTAAACTCGTTTGGGAAGAAGCCATGTTTTGTCCAACGCCAAGACTCTCTTCTCTTCTTAACCTCTCAGCATTTTCTAGGATATGCTGGACAATGCCCGAATTGGCGCGGTCAATCCCTCGCTCATGGACCTCGACGTTGAAACTTCCTAAATCCTCATTTCCTCCACGCGTATCACCTGTCGATCGGACCAAATACCTAAAACGATGCACCGATGATCTTTACGCCTGGCAACGCCGCGAAAGGCCCGCCGACCAACCATTCGTCTTGCACGATGGTCCACCCTATGCGAACGGCGACCTACATGTTGGTCATGCGCTCAACAAGATCTTGAAGGATATCATCTGTCGCGTACAATTGGGTCGCGGGAAGAGAGTGCGGTACGTGCCGGGCTGGGACTGCCATGGACTGCCGATCGAGCTCAAAGCCCTACAAGGCCTGCGAGATGCGGACGTTGCAAGCGGATCGGTCAGCGCGGCCGTTATTCGCACGTCCGCGCGGAAACTGGCAAGACAAACTGTGGAGGAGCAGATGAAAGTGTTCCGTGGCTGCGCGGTCATGGCCGACTGGGAGAACCACTGGAAGACCATGGACAAGGAATTCGAGATGCGACAATTGGGTATCTTCCGGGAAATGGTGGATCGAGGCCTCATCTACCGAAAGTTCAAGCCGGTTTACTGGTCGCCTTCAACGGGTACCGCTCTTGCGGAAGCTGAACTCGAATACAAGGAGGACCATATCTCGACCGCTGCTCTGGTCAAGTTCCCTCTTGTCAATATCCCCACGTATCTCGCTGAGGATCCTCTTCTTCGTGGAAAGGATGTGAGTGCTGTGATTTGGACCACTACTCCCTGGACCCTGCCTGCCAATGCTGCCATTGCAGTCAGCGAGTCTTTGGAATACACTATTGTCTTATCGGAAAAACATGGCCATCTTCTTATCGCTCAGTCGCGGTTGGAATATCTCCAGAGTATGTTGAAAGAAGATCTCTCTGTTATTGTGCCCTCTATCCTGGGGTCCGAGCTAGCAGAGAAAACTACGTATCGACCTCTATTCAAAGGACCTGAAGCTCAGCCACAGCCCATCTTCGCTGCGGACTTTGTTACTGCTGATTCTGGCTCTGGCATGGTTCACTGCGCGCCTGGTCATGGAATGGACGACTACGAGGCATGTCTTGCACGTGGCATTCCTGTGTTCGCTCCCGTCAACGATGAAGGCAAATTCACAGATAAAGCCATGCCCCTCGATCCTACACGTTTAGCTGGAAAGCCTGTCTTGGGAGAAGGTAACACTGCAGTGTTGGAATGGGTCCAATCGTGTGATCAGTTGCTTGCACAACACAAGTACGAGCACAAGTACCCTTACGACTGGCGCTCAAAGCTCCCGATCATTGTTCGGGCAACCGAACAGTGGTTTGCCGATGTAGCCGATATCCGCAGCAGTGCTCTTCGGGCGTTGGAAGATGTCCGGTTTGTGCCCGAGACTGGAAAGAACCGACTCGAGAACTTTGTGAAGAATCGAAATGAATGGTGTATCTCGCGTCAGCGCGCGTGGGGTGTTCCAATTCCTGCAATCTATCACCGGACTACTGGAGAGGCTGTCTTGACTAAAGATAGTGTTTCACATATCATGGCTACAATTGAAGAGCGGGGAATCGATGCTTGGTGGACCGACAGTGCGGACGATGCTGCATGGATTCCTCCGTCCTTGCGGGACGAGGCTGGAGCGGGATATCGACGTGGAACCGACACCATGGACGTTTGGTTTGACAGTGGTACTAGCTGGGCCGAGATCGATGTCCCTATGGAAGGTCGGAGTCATCCAGCAGACGTGTATCTCGAAGGTTCTGATCAACATCGCGGTTGGTTCCAGTCTGGCCTCCTCACGTATATCTCACACCAACTCGGTTCGGGTCAATCCACGCCTCATGCGCCATTCAAGAATCTCATCACCCACGGTTTCACCCTGGATGAACATGGGCGGAAAATGAGCAAATCCATTGGCAATGTGATGTACCCGCAGACCATCATGGATGGAACTCTGCTGCCTCCTCTCAAACCCCGCAAAGGCAAAGGAAAGAAGCAACCAGAGAACCAAGAACCCGTGTACGACGCTCTTGGCCCCGATGCGCTTCGCATGTGGGCGGCAAGCAGCGACTACACGCGCGATGTGGTGATCGGAAAACGGGTACTCCAGACCGTCAACACCAGCCTCCACAAGTTCCGTGTCACCTTCAAGTTATTGCTGGGTGCCCTTGCCGATTTCAACCCAAAGAACGTTGTCCCATACGGGCAGCTGCAGCTGGTCGATCGAATTGCACTCAAGCATCTCTCAGACATGGTACTCACGTCGCAGAAGGCATGTGACAACTTCGAGTTCTACAAGGGTGTGAGCACGATGAACCGGTGGGCCAACCTCGAGTTTTCTGCTTTCTACATGGAGGCGATCAAGGACCGACTCTACACCCTTGGTGAGGACAGCACAAGTCGCCGTGCCGCGCAAACGACCTTGTTCTACATCTACAATCATCTCCAAGAGACACTGGGTCCCATCACCCCAGTACTTGTGGAAGAAACGTGGGAACATACTCCCGAGTCCATCCGTACCCAATCTGAGCACCCCCTGCAGCGTATTATTTCTGCCCCGGCTCCGGAGTGGCAGGATTTAGCTCTAGACACCAGCTACCAGGAGCTGACGGTGGTCCACTCTGCCATCAAAAACCTGCAGGAGCAGGCTCGTAGTAAAAAACAGCTTGGCTCCTCCCTACAATCCTTTGTCCACGTTGTGCTCCCCAGCAGCTCTGGATTATTCCAGCAGTATCTGTCAGAGCTCCCTGATCTCTTTGTTGTGTCCTCCATCACCCTAGCATCCCACAGTGAACCTCTCCCAGATGACATCAAGGATGCTGACTGGCAATATGAGGAGACATTTGAGCTAGGTGGCCAACCTGGCAAAGTGTATGTGTATGCGCCACAGGCCTCTAAATGCCCACGATGCTGGCGGTACGCCATTCCGGAGCCGGTGGCGGTCGAAAATGCGATCTGCGACCGGTGTGAGACAGTGGTGCATGAGGCAAATGCCTAGATCACTGTGCAAGCCTGTATACTTATTTCTTTGTGTATTACTTATGTATTATATCGATCATCTCCATTGGACATGGCAGCCAATTTAACAACTGCAGTGCAACCAACAATCTAGAGACATCCAACATTCAAATTCAAAACCAAGCTGGATGGAATTTAATCTTTTTAGTCTCTTTAATCCATTCGATCTATTCAATCCATGTAGAATAATAGAATAATCCATGTAGTGAATGTTATAATTGGTTATGACGACAGTATCCAGTCAATGACGGTTGCCCCCAATCATCCCCAATCCTGTTTCGATGCAACATTGAATCATCATTCATATACTCATATACTCTGGAGTTTTCTCTTTCTTCACTTCTTCATTTCTTCACTTCTTATTTTACCCATCTTCTTCAAATTCAGCATGATTCAACCTCCATTTGATCAGTTTGCTACTCTCACGGCACCCGCCACCACATCCTCAGTGGCGCCTATTCCCACTGTCATTCCGGGATCTGAGGTATTCCAGGAACTTCACGATGTGGGAAAGCGGACTCTATGGTATGTGTATATTATAGATATATATTGAATGCCTGATCATACTAACATCTATAGGGTTGTCACTGTGTTAATGGGCATCTCCTCGCTGGTGTTCTATACTTTGGCCGCTCGTGCTCCTCTGGTGAGTTCATATCTCTTCTATGCGCTATATCCCCTCTATTATACATATATATATCTAACATCTTTACAGCCTAAACGAATCTTCCACATTCTGACCTCCCTCATCACCACCATCTCCTTCATAATCTACCTAGCCCTTTCAACAGGCCAAGGCATAACAACCAAACACGCCAGAATCCACGAATCCCACAAGCATGTCCCAGACACCCACACAGACTACATCCGCCAGGTCCTATGGCTGCGCTATGTAAACTGGGCATTAACAACACCCCTGCTCTTCATCAACTTCGCCCTTCTGTCCGGCCTACCAGGTGCAAACCTACTCATCGCCATTGTCGCCCACCTGGTAATGCTGGCAGCAGCTCTATTCGGCATCTTTGCAGGCCACGGGCCCGAGCGCTGGGTCTGGCTGACCCTTGCATGTATTTCCTACCTGGTCGTGATCCACCATATAGGCTTCCATGCACAGAAAGCGGCAAAGGGCAAGGATGCTCAGACACAACGCTTCTTTGGCTCTATTTCTGGATCCGCCATTGCCATGCTAGCGCTGTTCCCCATGTGAGTTATATATCCAAAAGAGCATTCTAAACTCGGTTCAGGACGATTACTAATGTTGGGTAGTTCTCTCGCGGCTGGTGCTCTTGCGCTTAAACTGAGCGTTGATGCGGAGACTGTCCTCTTCGCTATACAGGATGTCTTTACGCAAGGTGTCCTTGGATACTGGCTTCTGTTGGCTCATGAGAGCGCCACTGGAATGTGAGTTTCAGACTGAACCTCTGTGTATGCGGACGACATGCTAATATCTACAGTGCGCTCTACGTGGAAGGGTTCTGGTCCCATGGTGTCGGCAATGAGGGAGCTATTCGTATCTCCGACGAGGAGGGTGCGTAAGGAAATTACTTTTCGCCCACATTCAGATTGGAAATGAGATGATAGCATGTTTGTCCTTTTTCTTTCAGTCGACTGTCATATTTCTCCCATTTGCGGATCAGTTTCACCCTTCTCAGTTTGATCAGTTTGATTTAAGTAATGGTCTTGAGGTATGAGGTATGAGGTATGAGCATGATGATATTGATATTTTATCTTGGCCCTGCTGTTTTACATGTGTTCCATTTATTCCGTACTCTACATAAGGAGCAAGAATGACTTGAACAAGTGTGTGTTTTTTTTTTTTTCTTTCCTTTTTTTTTACTCGTACACAACAACAACAACCGAATGATAGTATTTCCCTGGCGGCACGCTCACCAGAACCCCCTGGGGAAGGCTCTGGCGAGCGTGCCGCCGCCGATGGACGCGGACACCGTCCGTTCACATCCTGGAGACCCCCAGACCTCCCACCGCAGCGGTGAGCTCGGCAAGCTCATCCTCATCGAGCTCCTCCATGGAGCTGGCCCCGGAGGGCCCGTCATTACCCCGGGCCACTCCGAGGTTGTTCGAGTGACGAACTCGAACGTCTCGCTGGGCGCGAGACAACCAGAAACCGCAGTCGATGCAGTCCTTCTTGAAGTGAACCTCCTCGAGGTTCCGGAACCACATCCCGAACGCATCCCCGTCCACGGCGAAGCCGGCCAAGGTGAGATGCTTGACCGGCAGGTAGCGGGGGACGGGGAACCTGGTGGCGCCGGCAAGAAGCCTTGCCTTCTCGATGCAGAACTTGTCAAGGTACTCGCCGTACCCGATTTTGCTCGAGATCTCTCCGTTGCCGTGCTCGCCACTATAGATCAGTCAGGTTAGCATATGTCACATCTCTCACTTTCAGATAACTCTCAGCTCGGTGTCACTTACTGGTAAACGGGCGCGCCAAACGACTTCACATTCATCACCCATCCATCCGTGATGGGCTTCCAGCCCCTTGGACCTGGCTTTTTGATTTCCAGTCCCACTGTCATTTCCAGCTCGAGGGTTGTGAGCTGGGAGTTCAACCAGACTGCCTGCCAGATGACACTCTGGTATGATTTAAACATACCAGTTAGACGCAGCACACGCAGGTTGCGAAACTCGACTAAAGGTCGCAAGTTCTCCTCAGAGGGAATGGTGATTCTGATCTTAACCTCACCCTCTGGTTCCTTGGGGGAGTGGTGGGCTCCCAGGCTGTCAGTCGCAGTCTCGTTCGCAACAGGAACATTGGCCTCAATGGCCGCATCAGACATAGTACCTTTATAAATGATCTGGTCATCTTCCGGACCAACACGATCATTTGGTGAGGCCTTGCGAGCATCACAAAGCATGTTCAGTTCGAGAACTGGCTTGGTGCGTGGGATATTATCCCAGGTGCCACCATCGTTGAGGTAAGCCATCAAGTTTATTTGAGAACTGTGAGCTGGGCGAGGAGTAGGCACAGATTCAGGGAGAGGGTCACTTGGTCGCTCAAGCCACTCTTGAAAACTGATAATGCTCCGACGGTTAGGAGAAATTGTGGAAAAAGGATAAGGGTCCTCGGGAGCTATGGGGGGTACAATATCTAGATTAGCAGCAGACGGTCCTCTGTAGAGAGAACGAAAGGCAGGACGGGGGGCCGTGGTAATGGGAGGAATAGGATATTCAGGAGGGAAGAAAGTAGGAGGAGATTCAGGTGGAAGGAAGGTCGAAGGAGACAGGATGGAAGGCCGGGTAGGCTTCTGGAGTTCAACAATGCCTGTAGTTGAAGCGAGGATTGGGCCTCGGCGCTTGAGACTGGAAGACGTAAAGGAAGGCAGTCTTGGAAGACGCAGGCTACCTTTCTTTGAAGTCTTCTGGCTCGTCTCGGGACTCTTTTCAGGCGAGGTTGGAGTATGAGTCCTTGGGGGGGAGGGATGAATGGTGTTTCGGAGTCTGGTGCTATTGAAAGAAGCCAGACGAGAGAGTTCCAAGCGACTCTTCTGCTTCTTTGGACTCTTCTCGGTAGAGCTTGTCACTGTAGTCTGAACATGACTTTTGGAAGGCGACTGGGTAGAGCTTTGATGCGGCAATTGGCCAGTTAGGGCTAGATGCAGATGAGATCATTAGCACGAAGTATATATCAATGGACATGCTTGTGTGTCAAGCATTCAACATAACAAGCATGCAGCACATGTAAAAACATACCTTGTCCCTCATTTCTAGCACGTTCCTGGAAACTTCTCGTCACATAGTCCCAGAACTGCGCTCCCATGAGGCTGGAGTCCCATTGCTCACGCATCGCACGATCGTATTGATTGTTCATGTTGATTTGGAATCAATAATAATGAAAATTGGATGAAAGTGATTATTAGAAGGATGAGACAAGATGGGAGGCGATGAGAGAAGAATAGATGGAACGAGACAGTCAGATGAGGGAAATGTACTGTGCGCGCGTTCTCTTCAAGCGTGCGCTCGCCGTATAGACAAGAACTCGAGGTAGGTACTATTCACGCAAGCAGTTCCGAGGTCTAGATCGAGGCTTCCGGTTCAATACTGTGCGTTCGCTCTTATACTTTGCCCTGCACCGTTAAGAATGCTAGACACTCTACCAATATGTACATAATATTGGCTAGTATAACTCGCATTATTGTCGTGTTGTATTCCCAAGCGTAGGACGAAGAAAGCTCTAACCCTACTGGGCCTAATCAGGCACCGTAATGCCCATATGTCTCTGACAATGGACTGAAAAGGATAGACCCGAAAACATATCCAATCAAGTATGTAGTTGGTGGCTGTACGAGCAATTGTTAATTCATTATGCTATAGTCGGCCGCGATGAAATCAACGGCACCGCTTGGAAGGGCAGATCCGAAGGTGCTCTTCATGACTATCACAACACAGCGACGAAGATGAACAGATTTTTTGCCCTGGAAAGTCGGTGTGTCAGCTTTTTTTGTGTATCCAGGAAGGCCGTAACATCATTATAGTCTAACTGTATGGATCGGGACAGATCCATCGTACTTGCAGAATCCTCAGAATGCCTTTGTCGCTATGTTGAAGCATTTTGTTTCATATCTATATCATATGCCAATCTAGAGCAGCTTTACAAATAATAGCAACAGTACTAGCTACCCCAATGTCGCTTCCTATAAACCATAGTACTAGCCAACCCGATATCAATTTTTAAAATGGGGGAATGCTTCGATGCTTGGAAGGTTGATACTCGCTGATCTTGGATCCACCGATCCGCTTATCCTTTTGGGTCTAGGTTTGGGCTAGTGTCGGTCCGCGAGACATCCTAGAAGTTTGACACGGTCCTTAGTCTATAACTGACGCGACATCCAGATATGATAGTAAATTGCGGCAGGGATGGTTCTTTATGCAAGTCTCATTCTAATTTTAGTCGGCCTGGTGGATACGCAATCCAAATCTTCTATGTTATCGTCGTACTGCATGAGCTCCTCCCACTATCTGTCACCAAAGAATCGGATGGCATCTACAGGCGAGGATATATCAGTGAGCGGCTGCGCCATCCGCATCGAGGGGCTCGATGAAAAAGAACGATCTCCGTTGAGCCATTGTCGAATTTCAAGGGCCTGAACTCGTATAGCCTTTCGCCCGGTTGGATGGGAGAAAGTCGCAAAATGCCCCTTTATGTCCTTTTTCAAGGTTATCGTTGGCCTAGTCTTCGCTTTTTCACGCAGAAGCTCGCATGAGAGTTTCTAGCAGTATCATGGCGCCTTCATACGTGGCAACCTTGTTGGGAATGCCCCGGAAGAAGGGTCACTGGTGGTCATGGCGGTCAAGCTCTCCAGACTGGATTGGGTGAGGGTTTTCTCGAGTCATGCTGGAACCATCACAATCAAGATTTGGAAAGGAGGCAAGAGGCATGATTGAATTAGGATGAAATGAAGTTGAGGATGAAGGAAGACGCATGAGCTAAACCTAATTCGGGTGACCCGCTAAGCCAGGTAATCGTTACATCAAGGTCCCATATATTAAATATATATTTCTGGTTTATATACAAATTCAGGCCACAAAAAAGCTCCTAATATCGCTCTGCTTCTGCCGTCCGATTTTCCTTGCTTCAACTAACCTCTCATGTCTATGTAGAGCAGTAATTAACTTGGTTTCACCCTGTTCTTGCTGCTCTTCATATAACCGAAGGGTTTTTAAAGCCTCAATAGCTTCATTATATTGAACCTGGGGCTCTTCAACCACTATATCATCCTCATCAACCTCTCCAAGAAACCCACTGAGCACTATATCATCAATAGTATGAATACTATCTTGAATAAGCTCATCAATTGGGTTAAGAAAGTGCTCAATATCCATTGGGTTTGGAATCCAAGGCCGCATGATAAGTATATCAGATGATATCTCATTAATTAGCAACTGTATATTACTACTAGTACTACTACTAGTAGTAGTATCTAGAAGTGATATTGAGAGCCCCTTTTGGAAGCAACTCTTAATTGTAAGAGCTGATATATCAAGTTCCCAGGCTTGGATACCCCATGTAATGGCTTTTAGCACATTCATTGAGCTTATAGGATCTCGGCCACTATCAAATTCATAAAGCATGAATTTAACCCATTGGCGCTTCCAATATACCTTCCACGTATTAATAATACCCTGATCAAGTGGCTGGAAGCGGGATGTTGAATTCGGGGGAAGCCATATAATCAGGGTATTTTGTAGTGGTGCAGTACTATTATTAATAGCCTTCACTGCAGATTCATGCGCTGAGAAATTATCCATAAGAAGTACTACCTTCCTATGAATCATCAAAGCGTCAAACCACCGAAGCCATTCTTCAAAGATCTCGCTAGTCATCCAGGCCTTTGCATTCGACTTCCAACGTATATTAAGATTATTAATATTGATGTGGGAAGCAGTAAAAGCGCGGGGTTTCTTAGCTGTGCCTATAAAATATATATTAGTAGAGGAAATAATAGTATTATATGGCCTGGCTTAGCTAGCTTTATATAGCAGGGCCTGGCCTAGCTAGCTTTGCATGGCATGGCCTGGCATAGTATAGGAAGTAATATAAAGACATACATACCAATAAACCATGGTTTTAGCTTCTCAGATCCATCTGCATTACAACAAAACAAGGCTGTAATTTTAGCCTTCTCCGTCTTTCTTCCAGGTAAAGAACGGGTTGAAAGGTCTCGGTCAGGAATACGCTTCCAGAAAAGGCCTGTTTCGTCACAATTAAATATATCCCGAGGGCTATATGATTGAAGAGCTTGACGAATTGGAATCATAGCTTCAGAAGTAAGCTCTGGGGTGCTTCCATCTTCACCATAATGTAAACGATTTTGTATTGATCCACGGTGTTGAAACCCAGCCAGCCAACCATTACTAAATGTAGGCATTTCAACGCCTATATAGATAGGTAGCTGGCCCCAGAAAAAACGTGCCTTTTCACGTATAACCTTTTGGGTTATAGGAATATGATATTTAGCGAGTTTTATCCAATGGAGAAGGGCTTTTTCAAGGTCAGGCCACCGCGCTATCCGAGCACGTTTTGCTTTGAGTTGGTGCTTCGAAACCTCGGCGTCAAGATAGAGGTATCGGGAGGAAAGGATTTCAGAGACTGTAGATTGAGAAATACGATGATTGTAGGTATTAAAGAACCAATTGGCGAGTTGCTTATGCGTAAGTAAGGGGTTGTTTCGGGAGTACTCTCGAAGAGCAATCTTCTCGGAGGCTGGAATTGATCGGCGAGGCATTTTATAGTTGACGTATAAAGTCCTGGATATAACGATTTATGAGAGAGAATGAATCAACGATTTTTGTATGGAGGATCAATTTAGACACCGGATTCCGATCGGTATATCCGGGTTATCGTTTTATCCGGGGTCGTTATAACTAGGTTTTACTATATATATATATATATATCCATGCATACATTAGAAATCATTATAATCTCTTGTTCTTTCTTTTCGGGGGTATTTTTTATGTCTATTTATATTTTCTGGATACACCTCATAGCTGGACACCCAACCCAACCTATTAAATTTAAATGCATTTATCTCAACCATAACGCCATTTAATTAATTCAACTAACTGATCTATCTGGACATGTTTCTCTTCTATACCCTGGTAATCTGCATCTTGAACTGAGAGGCCTTCTTCAGCAGGTATCTGCTTTCGGGATCAAATACGCTTTTGCTTCTGCTTCGCGTTGGCGGCACGTAATCTCTTGTTTTCTTTGGCGAGTAAGATCGCACCTTGCATTATAAGACGGAAGCCTTCCATAAGCTGGTTGAATGCACGATCTGACGGGCTGGACGGACTTCGAGATCTTGTACGAAGTAAAGCTTCAAGCAATGAAGCCTGTTGACGTAGGTCTTCCTCCGTGAAAGGAGTTTTTGGGGTAAGATCCTGGCTTGATTCACTACCCTGGCTGGCAGGGGGGTTGGGGTTCGAAGTCGGATAATATGCTTTGAAATCACTCGGTCGGGTCCAAATGGGACTAAACCGGTAGCTAAGAAGCTATTCTTAACTATCTCCGATTTAAAGGCTTCAATTCGTGCGAGAGGGTATGCTTCGAGGAAGTCAAGTTTGTCAATATGGTTGATCCCGTTCCGCATCATAGTTTCAATCATCCGACCATACGATCGTTTTAATACCGCAAAACAACCCATATCAAGAGGTTGTAAAAGATGAGGTGGATGCGCTGGCATACAGATTGGTATCACCTTATTTTTCTCACAAATTTCGTTGAATTTAGGCGTTAAATGACTTCCGTGGCCATTGAGTATCAAAAGCCGGTACTCCCCCTTCGTACGTAAAGAAGTACTAGGAATAAAGAGCTTCTCAAGCCAACGAAGCCCAATTTGATCGGAGGTCCAGCCGTTAGGGCTAACTTCGAAGCGCCAATCCCCCGGGAGGCCTTCAAACCATGATTCAATAAAGAATTTGCCTTTAAAAATCACACACGGAGGAAGGGCCCAGCCAGAAGCATTTATACACTCAATTGTGGTTACCCACTCTCGATTTCTAGGTTGTAAAACTGCTCGCCGACCGTAGTCCTCACCCCTCGTTATAACCTTCGCAGTTGCAGTTGACCCTATCGCGAAACTGGTCTCGTCAAAGTTATAGATATCGTCGGGGTCGATTCCAAATTGAAGGATTGTCTTTTGAACTAGATCAAACCACTCCCCGATGATTTTCGGGTCTTCACATTTCGCTCGCTCGGGGTTATACCGTTTCGAGAATCGGGAGGAGAGAAGAGGACGTTGTTCAACGGATTTTGTAACCCGATTTTGGCCGACTGGAAGAAGCGGGGTGGTTCCACGCTTCTGAAGGTTTGCCATTTCTCGTACCATAGAGGGCCGGGGGGCTGCTCCACGTAGATCCATAGAGAGAATCAATTTTTCAAGAGATTCCTCTTCAATCTGGGTCAATTTCTGTAGGCTGACGTGAGAAATCGCGTGGTTTTTTACACCATGGAGGCGTGTAGCGAGGGTTGAATTCGGTATATTGACTCGGCGGGCGGTTTCACGAATTGAAGAGAATTCTCGATTCTTAAAAGCCTGGATAGCTAGTAAGATACTACCCTCTTGCTCTATTGAATTTTTAGAGCTCCGGGAGCGTATTGGTGGTATGGTGGGTGGTGGAAGAAGAAGAAGAAGAAGAAGAAGAAGAAGAAGAAGAAGAAGAAAGGGGTTAAATTAATTGACGCGTTTTGGGTGGGTGTCCAGCTATAGGGTGTGTCCAGCAATGGGGTGAAATACGTTATGTGCCCCAGTGTGGATACTTCACACATCCATATTGGGCTTCTGACAAACGTGGGGTATGAGCTGTGAATTGTCTATATATAAAGGTTTCTTCAGGGACAAGTATAGTATCCCATGGTCTGATGTCAGACATGCCAGTCTCCACCTCAGGGCGGGACCCTACCTAGGTAGACCGGTGCTTGATTACATATCGAGCTGCCTGAGCGACCTTTCCATGGATGATTGTCATAGCGATATTGTAGGCTGGATGTCGAAGACGCAAGCTTAAACCCAGAGACTGGCACATTGCCAAACTGATATCAAGCAAGTTAAAAAAAACAAAAAAACCTACTGCCCTACTGGATACAACTACAGCTCAAAGAACAAATTGGCTGGCAAATGGCCCGTGGACTTCGCTATTTTGTGTCCCTCCCCATGATAAATACATCCAGAGCGGTGCGGAGATGTCTCTCGCACACACGAACCATCTTTTAATCGCCAAGCACAGAGGGAGAAGTTTTAAAAGAAACCCATTGGAATTGTCGAACAAAAATCATGCATCATCCATAACCTAGTACTTCTTGCCCTGGCGGAGGACATCACCGAACTCCTCCAGAGGGCTGCGGATGAGCTTGTTCTCGGCCCACAGGTTGGGGGTAAGGAAACCGTAGGTGTTGACGACAGCGACGAAGGTGGCCTTGAGGGTGTTCTCGAGGGTCTTGGTGGAGCCGGAAGAGGAGGTGTAAGCGTCCTGGACACCGGCGAGCTGGAGCAGACGCTTGACAGCGGGGGAAGCGACAAGGCCGGTACCGCGGGGGGCGGGAATGAGCTGTAATTCATTAGAAACCATCTCTTCAGATCAACTGGCCCCTGAAAACAAGGGCCAAACCACTGTACAAAACTTACACGGACGGAGACGGAACCACACTTTCCACTCTGCTTGACGGGCAGAGAGTGAGGCTCACCAAGGTTGGTACCCCAGTAACCGCGACGGACGGGGAGGACAGCGAGCTTGGCGATGGTGATAGCGGCACGGATGGCAGTGGCGACTTCCTTGGAGGTCTTGATTCCGAGACCGATGTGGCCCTCGGAGTCACCGATGAGGACAATGGCCTTGAAACGGGTACGCTGACCGGCACGGGTCTGCTTCTGGACGGGCTTGATCTGTAGGTTGAAATTTGACGTTAGTTTCTGGTCTGATTTCGATGTATTCGTTTTTCTCCGCTCGAGCTTCCACTGCGCAATTGCGTGCAATTGTCGCATTCCAGTCGAATCCCGCTCAATCCTCCAATTTCAAAAGAAGTGTGTCGATCCGTACCTTCATAACCTCATCCTTGAGCTTGGGAAGGAAGAAGTCGACAATCTGGTACTCCTTGACGGGCAGAGAGTGGAGGTAGATCTGCTCCATGGAGGTGATCTTGCCGGCCTTGACGAGACGGCCGAGCTTGGTGACGGGCTGCCACTCCTTCTCCTCCTGCTTGGGGCCACGACGGCCGCGACGGCCACCACGGCCACGTCCACGCTCACCACCACGGTCGCCGCGCGAACCGAAACCACCACGTCCACGGGGAGCAGCGTCAGCCATATTGATGTTGTTATGGGAAGCGACGGGGAGGGTTGTCGGGATTGAGTTGGTCGTCGAGATTCACGGCGCTGAGCACTGTTTGCCCGAAATTTGCGCGGGTGGGCTAAGCGAGCGGGCAGCCCTAGTGGGGACCCTATGCCCTAAGTTCCTGATCGGGGTGGTGGCACGTGCACTTAAGGTTTCCAGGGCGGTGTCACCTGACGGGGCCCAGAAGTAGATCGATTGATCGTCGTTGTTTATAGGGGGCATTGAAACTGTGCAAGAAGGTATAAATTGATTTTATATTAATGTTGAGGTTATTAGCTATAGCTATATTTAACAATATATCCTGTTTATGCACCAAATCAAGACCTCGTAATGTTGGTATTCTACTCCCCTACGTCACTTCAAAAATCTGCTTCAGGCGGATGCATTTCCTATTTGAGCAATGCGACAGGGTAATCTCGACTCCGCAATTTCAAGATTGTTTCCTCCCCAGTTGCCCCCAGTTCAATAGTCTTTCAGCGTCCCTCCTCTTGCGTTTTTGTTCATTCTTTGCATTATTCCACTCTTCTCTACTTGTGTCATCTCTTTCACCACCGCTCAATTGCAGTTATGTTGCGCTGGTAGGTCTCCCTTGCTACTTATCTCCTTGAATCGAAGCTCACAACACTCTCCAACCAGGTACCAGTCCAAGTTGGCAAAGAGGCCCATCCTCACCGCAAGCATCACCAGTGCCGTACGATCATCTCCTTTCCCCCTTTCACTCGGACCAGCTCCTGATCCTTGTTACAATAGTTTCTATTCGGCAGCGGTGATGTTCTAGCACAGCAAGCTGTTGACCGGAAAGGTCTCCAAAAGCACGATTTTGCCCGCACTGGGCGAATGGCTCTATACGGTGGAGGTATGTGTATATGTCTCAAGTCTCGAGTCACTTGTACATTGCTGATCAATGCCTTGTTCTTTTAGCCGTCTTCGGTCCTGTTGCCACTACCTGGTTTGGCATCCTCCAGCGTCATGTCGTTCTCAAGGGCGCCGCATCCACCACCGCCGCCCGTGTTGCCGCCGATCAAGTCTTCTTTGCCCCAATCCAGCTCACCTGTTTCCTATCCTCGATGGCCATCATGGAAGGTGTTGATCCCGTGGAACGGTTGAAGACTGCCTTTGTTCCCGCCTACAAAGCCAACCTGATGGTCTGGCCGTTTGTACAGGGGGTCAACTTTACATTTGTCCCCCTAGAGCTGCGCTTGTTGTTTGTCAACGTTATCAGTTTGGGTGAGTACTTTTCTTCCAAATGTTGCTGGTTGTACTCCTTCCTCAGACACTAACAATTAAACAGGGTGGAACTGCTTCCTTAGCCTGATGAACAGCGGCGAAGAACTAGAATTCCAAGCCGCAATTTGAGATACCCTTTGAAGTTTTCATTATTCGCTAATTTTGGGCTTGTTTTTTTCACGTTGGCGCTCCATTATATAGGATGTCCTTTTTGGTTGTTAGGTTATATTCCTCAGGCATCGTGTTCGGGAAGATTTTTATTCTGCATTTTTCGGCCATGTAGGATACTAGATAGTATGAATGTGAATCTTAATATTCAAATAGAATTAATAGAATATATGAATGATATACAAAATAGAAATAAGAGTCAAGTGAATGAAGATCATATGGTATATTAGTGCCCAGGAGTGATAATTGATTATGTTACGGAAGAACCCAAAGAGGCAAGGCAAGTTTTTGTGGCTCGAACTTCAAAACTTCCACTCTTTGCAGTCGATTGTCGCTCACCTCCACTCTGATCTCACACTGCCTGGAGCAGACTATTACTGCTAACTCGATCCAGGCTCGGATTTATCTTACCTTCTTTGTGTGAAAAGCTCCGATTTGCGCTTTCCCTGAAATTCTCGCCCCTCCGACTTTCCGACTCGATTTCCCCCTCCATATCCCTTCATCATGGCTACTGTCGCAGAAAACGGTACTCCGGTTGTTGCCGATGAGAACTCCGCTCCTGTCACCGAGACTCAGACTGGTGATGCCGTCACCGTTTTCCACAACCCCGATGACTTCAACGTGAAGCACCCTCTTATGCACGAGTGGACTCTGTGGTTCACCAAGCCCCCCAGTGGCAAGGTAGGAGATACCAGTTGGATATATCGACCTCAGTGTACTTACTCATGAAAATTAGGGCGACAACTGGAACGATCTGCTTAAGGAGGTGGTTACCTTCAGCTCCGTGGAAGAATTCTGGGGCATCTATGTAGGTCCAATCCGAAGTCTCCCCCGATTAACAATCACACTAACCTCGATCGCTATTAGAACAACATCACGCCGACCTCCGAACTTGGCCTCAAGGCCGACTACCACCTCTTCAAGAAGGGCGTACGACCCGAGTGGGAGGACCCCCAAAACAAGCACGGTGGAAAGTGGTCATACCAGTTCAAGGACAAGCGCTCCGTCCCCATCGACGAACTCTGGCTGCACGCGCAGCTCGCCGCGATCGGTGAGACCCTCGAGAAAGATGACGACAACGAAGTGATGGGAGTGGTTGTGAATGTGCGCAAGGGCTTCTACCGTGTCGGTCTATGGACACGTACAGTCGGCAAGAGCATCCAGGGCGATAAGCACACCCGCACACAGGCGCAGGGCAAGGAGGTCCTCGAGGCAATTGGTCAGCGATTCAAGGATGTGCTGCGGCTCAACTTGGCGGATGTGGTGGAGTTCTCTGGCCACACCGACAGTGCACACAGCGGTAGCACGCGCGCAAAGGCCAAGTACACCGTTTAAACGGGGTTGGCTGAGGTGGCGATGTGCAGATGAGGATGAAAAACGAAAAACAGGGGACGGATGGCGATGCGCAGATTTCACGATTACGGACGACACGAATCGAGGGGAATTGACTCGACTCGACTCGATGTGCGGTGCTGGAAACTGGGGGTTGATTCACATAGGGACCGAGGTTCCCCCTCTTATGCCCGCCCCGCTGCATAGTTCTGCAGGGACGGCCTGATTGCTTGCGACTTGTATCTTACTCTACCAAACACATTTTACGAGGCTTCTGCCATGGTTGAGGTCGAGCTCGTGCCGGTATGATGGTATTTTCCTTACATTATTCTATACAAATATGACCTGTTCATGGATGCATTCAACTTTTCGCGTTGGCGTGCTGGGTCTGTTTTGGCGAGATCAAACACCTGAGTATAGCTGCGGGTTTTGAATGCGCTTATGTTGTAGGTGTAGCTTAGCAGCAGCCTAAATGTATAGCCATCTGTGGACAGGCGCTTTAGGTAGTAAGCGCTCAGTTTCAAGCATGTTCTGCGGATTTACACCGCCATGCTTCCTTGGAGATATAAAACGCCCTTCGCAAGGCAGACAGTATACCCCAACACCAATATCAAAGTCAAAGGAAGGGCCAAGCTGTTTCCACCTGACAAAAATATTGAGAACTCAGTTCTTGCGCAATTCGCCGATTATCTTTCGCCCGAAGTCCGTACAATCACAGATGACGATGATGGGCTTCTTGCTGGAGTCTCGATAAATCCGGAAGAGGATGAAACATTATGTATTGGATATATTCCCTTCTCACTCTGTCAATCGCTTGCGCATCATACTACAATCTATTTCTCTCAATTTCAAGAGCTGATCAGCTTGGACCAGGTGTGGATCTCTCATCATATAATGGTCAGAGGGTCGCGTTCAAATTCAACCCTCTGCGCATACCTCGAAGACTACAAATGTCTTAGAAGGAGACCAACATACTTAGCAAACTGCCACCGCACTCTAATATAGTACCGTTTGATTGCGTCGTTCTCGAAGACGTAGAGTCTCGAGTGATTAGATTCACAACAAAGTACATCCCAGGTGAAACGCTAGCAAATGCCGATCCAAAAAGGCCTGTCCAATTTGAATGGCTACAACAGCTTACCCAAGTAGTGGATTTCCTGAACCTAGAAATAGGGATCATGCATCAAGATATTGCACACCGAAAATTACTTGTCGACCCTGAAACAGACAAGCTTCTTCCCTTCGATCTTGACTAGGCCGCCAATATAAAGGACTACCTACTATATAGTCGAGATGATGTGTCTAGTGTTATGTTCACACCATACGAGATCGTTACAAACGATACATATTTTACGAGCATTCCTTACTAGGATCGAAACATAGATATGGTGCAGAATATCGAATGGACTTGTCACCGCAAACTAGACTCCGATGTGTTGAAGTTCCGCAACTTTTTGAATGAATGGGTAGCAACGAGAACTGACAGAGCCATGGAACGATATCTCAATGCACCCAAGCGGCTTACTTAGCTGGGCCTCCCAACTCCTCCAGACTACAGTGTACCTTACGAGATGGGTTGGATGAAGGAAGGGGAAACTATTTGGCAAACTTGTGCGCGTACAAGACGCATTGCACTATAGAAAGGACAATCCTATTTTCAGTGGCAAAGGTCACCACAATGCAGGCTTTTGAAGAAAGCAAAACATAGTATGGATGCAGTAGCTAATGACTGAAAGATTGCTCAATCAGCTTGAATTAACCATTTGTTAGATAACACAACGTACAAAATGAAACACATTAAAGGCTTGTGTAAATTCTCCACTACCTACAAGATTGACATTTACCATGCGATCCATGTCTTGTTTGGGTAGTGAAGCTGTATACTTGCGACATTTAAGATAGGCAAATTAGCTCTCCACAGGGACTGATCAAACAACTATCAAATGCACGTATTATTTCTGTGTTTTATTTTAAAAGCGCTACATATTTGGATCGGATAGTACATTATGAGTAAGCACATGGTATAGATGCAGTGTGGGTTTTCACTCCTACAATGTTATGGATATTATAAAAAGCATTTGCCTGGGTATTTTGACCGTTAGAACTGACAATTACTAAGATGTTAGATCTATGACGCGTTTTGTTAAGGTTTAATTAATATTTATAAGGTGCCTTTGTGCCATACATAAGTTTCAATCTCGGATATATATTTACTCTACTCAGAAGCTGAAAACAAACCCGAGTTGATGCGGAGACCCCCGATAGCCAAGAGTCCCTCATTAGCCTTCCAGTACTAACGGGGATATGCAGAGGGAAAATTATTGAAGAAATAAAGTGAAATTTCCAAAAAGAAGCACATGTACGACCTTTAACACAAGCATCAACCAGGGATTCTCTCCACCCTGTAGTTTTCATAATGTGATACTACAGTATTAAGCATATTCTGGATATATATACTGCCTGTTGGCTTCTTATCGACCGTAGGAACTAGCTCTCTGCCTTTCTGGAGGCTGTTAACCGAAGGGGACAAATCCCTTGTGCCTTCCCGGGCCTATCTAAGAGGTTACTCACCAAGTGCTGGTAGATAATCTGTATTCTAAACCCACTTTATTACATGATGTTCCCATACATAAAAGAGCCATAATCGTAGCAAAGAGAAGACAAAGCTAGATGGACGATTGATGGGCTTCTTGAGGCTGTGGAGTAGATACATTATGTACCAGATTAATAGACCGAACTAACGCCGGTGGGTTTGCAAAGGGAAATGAATGGTGAAAATTGCGGCGAAAATGGCCCCACGATTCACTCTAGAGTACTCCGTATAGGAACTCACACCGGTGAAAAACCGGAGCAGCTACTCCGTAGATTCCCTGGCACAGGACCTCGTGGCTCAGTATCTTAACAAGACCCCAGGGACAAAGAGTGCTTTCAGGTTATGCTCGTATAACTTAAAATTGCAAATACTTAAAGACAAGGTGTTGATCTTATGCCATGGAGATGTCCACCCTCCGACACTATAAACCATTGATACCGTCGGCCGCAAGGGCAACAGGGAGATCCATCCTTCCAAATCTCCGGACTTGGTGGCCTTAGAAAGATCAATCCCATAGAATGCACATGAAAGTCTTTTTGTCCTGTAACCCTTGTAAAGTGATGACACGCAGCTAAGAATCCAATCGACTAAGCCTGCTTTATCTCCAATGAAGTCGAGAAGTCATGAACACGCTACTCCGTAGTAAGTTGGATGTTCTGTTTACTCCAAACCAATTGCTCGCGCACTACAGCCGAGCACACCAGTAGGAGAGAGTAGAGAGAACGAGGGGGGTGTCCAATTGCCTTGCAGTGGAAGGTTATCCTGTACGAGCTAGCCAATGGGATGTAGTTATTTATAGAGAGAGGTAATTGACCTTGGAAGCTTCCAAAAAAAAAACTCTGACCAGCGCAGTATGCTCCATTGATATTTTTCCAGGTCTCAGCTGGGAATAAAACTCCCTAGCAAGGAGATTTGGAAACAATACCTCAAGATACAACCATCGTATTTCTTCGAGATGGTTCATGGATAGCCATGCTCAACACAAGTACGATGGCGTTCATCGGTCAGCACTAGGTTAGTTAGTAGTCACCGACGG